GCAGTGCGCCCACACAGGCCACGTTTATTTCAAAACCATACACCCACCGAGTCAGAGGAGAAGTGAGCAGACCAGGCCAGAACAGAACTGAGCAGACCAGGCCAGAAACCAGAACCAAAACCAGAACCATTTCCGTTGCATGACCGTGCGCTTGGTTGGTGGCTTCAAGAGTCCTTAGAGAGTCACTGGCGTAAACGAGACAATGCCGGTGAATAAAGCGGGATGAACACAGGGAAAAATACTTTTATGAAAGATAAGGGTCCTAAAGCAGCGTAACTCTTATAAACCAAGAAATCCAGATAGTTGAAAGACCCAAGTTCCACTTCCTAAGGGCACTTTACAAACTCACTATATTACAAATATTTATAAGACAAAATTCCCAAGTTGAGGGCTGCAGCTTAAATATTTTCATCTTATTACTCGCTGTGTGCAAGGGTCCATTGCGGCCAAGTCAACGACAGAAGTCCTCATCCCCTTAACTTTTTGTATATCTATCTTTTTTTTAAACTCCCCCACACATTTTGTTTACTTGTTTGCGAGCGTTAAACATTCTGGGAAGCTGCAAGGACGTGGGATCTTGACTTACAGACAGGTGTAAATGATGTGGAGTGAAAAGAAATGCCAGCACATCCGAGAACCAAAAACAAAGGCCAAACATCACAGATGCTGAGTTTGCTTGGCGCTGAGCTGCAGACAGTTGCATTCTTATTATTATGATTATGGCAAAGAACTTGGCGTAGAATGCACGGCTGCTACCTTACACTGTTAAAATAATAATTATCATATCATAACTTAGGAAATACTGGACGTCTGTTAAGCTGTTCAAGATATTTTTTGCCTAGAATTACTTTTTATGGAACTGCCTTCTGTGCCGCCAGATGCGCCAGTTATGGCCGCCCTTATCTTTCAGTGTAGTGCTGCATTTTGCCTCCGTCTGAGTGTTTGTTGATATGCGCAGCGATTTAATTATAAACACACAACACGTGCTAGTCCATTTCAGTACAAAGAGGTGTGCAAACCAAAAATAACACGCTCTTACTTCTTTATAGAGGTACTCACACTCCGACATCATGAGCTTGAACTTTGCAGGCCACTGAGCCGTGTGTAATTCGCATGTTTCCTAAACCGTCTAAACCGGAGTTTTGGGTCGAATCGAAGGCGGGGTTCGGCTATATTTAATTCCCCATAATGTGTGCCAATAGTCCTATAATCGGTTGGACACGCGAACCGAACAGATGGGTATATGTATATGTAATTACCTAATTATGTGCGTTGTTTGACCAACAGAAACGGGATGGAAAGCCATAATTAAGTTAACCAACTTTGTAGTTGATTTAATAGCAGCATATAGGATCATCTGATAGTAGCAATGATTTGTATTGGACGAGAAACATTTCCAAAAGCAAACATTTACTAATTAAATTAATCCCACAGGTTAGGCATTTCTTAAGAAATCATTTACTGCAAGGAAATGAGACATTTGAAACAGTTGATAAACCTTTAGATGGACTTATGGCAAGAAAGTAAGAAAGTATTTTTAGGTCAGAACTTTCTTTTCAGATAACTTAAATATTAAATAAAATATTGAATGGCGGAAAAAGAACATGAAATGTTACTAAATAACCAAGATAACTACTAATGAGAGAGTCTTAAGTGATGGCACTCATTATTTCCATTTCATAAATTATATACAACATTAATTTGGTTGCGGTTAACCACTGGCAATTTAGCCGGCCACTTGAAAATAATATATTTGCCGTATTATTAGCCACTTGAAATGCATTTGAAAAACGCCAAAAGACCTCAATTGAAATAATCAACGCCATTTGCTGATTGTGTACGAGTGCCAAATGAACTCTTCACATCATGCAATGGCCGTTCGTTAGCTCCAGTTTAGTTTTCCGCTGTGCCGTGTGGGTTTTCCTTTATTTTATGTTACTTCATTATTTTTGTAGATCATAAAGCATCGATAAAAATCGCTGCGCCGGTCGGTCAATGCACGCGGCTTTCCACATCGTTATTGTTTGTATTGCATGTGCCGCAGAAATAAAGACGCACAGTTTTCCTCGATGAAAACTGGATGGCCACAATGGCAGTCGCTTGGCACGCAGTTCGCTGATAGTTAAAAACAAATGCATGAAATGTGGTCAGCAGGCGTAGAAACAGTGCACTGCAAACCAAAACTATAACTATAACTAAAAATGTATAAGCATTGATAACAAATACCTTTGGACACACTTTGTTCTATCCTTCTTACTTTGAAAACTTTAAACATGAAACCTAAAACCACAGAGTCTGTTGATACGAATTAGAAAAGCTGTTAGGGATTTGCAAAACTTTTCGAGTGTACAAGGGTTCCAGGTCTGCGGCTCGCATGCCAAACTCACATTTAATCCTGGTTCGAGTCGAATGTATTGACTGACGCCTTTCCGCCTTCGTTCCTTGCGTATCTTTACAGGGTGCCGGCAAGGAAATCCGAGAAGCCATCGCCCTGCCCTCGCCGGAGGTGACCGCCAAGGCCTGGGCGGCGGTGCTGCCGCTGGTGAACAAGCTGAAGCGCTGCTACGAGCACTCCATGGAGCTGGACAAGATTGTGCCCAAGCTGCTGGGCCAGCTGGTGGGCGGCAAGCTGAATCCCACCCAGCATCTGGAGACCCAGCAGGCGCTGGTCAAGCAGCTGGCCGAGATCTTGGAGTTCGTACTGAAGTTCGATGAGTACAAGGTGAGTGAGTTGACTTCAGTTCAGTTTAGTTGCTTTGACAGCCGGGTGTTACAAGCTCTCAAATCCATATTTGGCTGTACGACGCCCACCTCGTTAACCCATTAATGCCTGCTACCTTTGGTGGTGGGTAAACCGGGCACTGACAACATGACATTGTTCGCGTTTGACAGGGCAGGAGTGGGTTATTAAATGAATTAAATATAAATGTGATTGAGGCGGCTCTTCAGTTACAGGCAAACGTTTTACAGTGAATCAAAAACATTGCTCCAATGCATTTTAAACACACAGCACTTCAATTTGAATGAACAGAGCGTTCAAAATTGCATAAAATCTTAAGTGGGTTATACACAAAGTTCATTTGTATTGCAAATAACATGGAATAAGATATTAGTAAGCACACTGCTAGTTCTGTAAACCTTTAAATAGCATAAAACGCAGAGAAGCAAATGTTTACAATACAACGCCCCATAAAGGCTTAAATCATTTTATCTCCGCCTGTCTGCAGAATTGTTAGTGGGTTAAATTCAGTCTTCTTCACTGCCAGTTTGTCTGTTTGTTTGCCTTATGTGGGCGCTGTCGACAGGCGAGCCAAAGCAAAGCAATATCTAAAAGCCGAGTCAAATGAAGCCAAACCAAGTCCCACTGCCAACTCATTGTGCGCGTGGTTGCATTTTTAATTGACTGACTTTTTTGCCCACCTTACTGCCTGTTTGCCTGTTTGCTTGGCTGGCTGACTGACTGGCTGACTGGCTGGATGGCCAAGACGGGCGCGTGCTGCGGCCCATTGATGAAAAATCTTTCTGGTCATCCGTGCACATTCGTTGGTGCCACAGTGGAGCATCGCAGGCACTTACGCACACGCAAGCCAAGTGGCCCACGACAAACGACCGATGGCCGGATGAAGTTGTAAAGTGAATGATGTCGGCTCCGGTGGCCTGACAGTGCTGGTCATCAAAGTAGAATACCTCAGGTTTATAATAAACTTTTAAAAATGTATGTCCCAGCAGAGAAACTGAGTTTTAGAAAGAATTACAAGGCAGCACAAGAAACAAAAAGGAAACTAGAGGTTATTTTTTGGATCCAACAAATTTATACTAAGTTTAAAAGTAATGCGATTCTAATTTAATATAAGGAACATACAGCATTTTTTTAATAACTTAAAAATTGGACGTTGCGCTTACCAATTTGTTTAGTATTTTTCTATTTATTTTTTAACATTTTTTAATGCTATTATAAGCATTTTTCCAGCTTTTGCTTGGCTCCTAATTGCTCCGTTTAATAAATGCACAGCTACCTGATTATTTTCCGAACATAAACTGCTTAAAAAATGCGCACAAAATCGATGTGTCTTGAATGAAACTCCAACATTTAATTAAGTTGCCTTACCTGAAGTGTTTGCCCCTGCCAAAGGCCCCAAATATGCAAACAAACGTATTCGCACTGGGTTAAAACATTACACAAGTTTCTGTGGCAGTTGGATATGCAGGTTGATTGTGCGGAGTCAAACAAAATCGATTTGTTTAATGGCAAATCCCTGTGAATGGCGCATTTCCCATGGCTCGCTTCCGTTTGGCGAAACTTTCATCAAATCGATTGGGGAGCACTGGAGCACTATGCTATGCTCTATAGCTAGGACAATCGGGGACAATGGGGGGCAATGGAGGTAGGGATGGCGGAGTCATCGCCATCGTCGGCTCCGTCGCCTCTGATGTCTAGTGTGTCTGCAACTTTCTGCTCCCGACTATAATGGAAATGGTAGTAATGGCGATGATGATGATGTTAAACGCTGCAAACTGCACGTTCATTGTGTGCTCAAAGTGTCAGCTGCCTGGCGCTCAGCGATTTTCCCATGTAAAAGTCGCATATACACGGATATACATATAAATATCTACTATATAGCCCAAACGTGCTTGCCCACTAACTGCTACTTCCGGTCCTCGATGAAGAGCATTGTTTCTGCGCCTTTGTTGCTTCCAGTGTTTCCAGTGCGCCCCAAAGTATGCTGCACAATTTATTGACTGCTTGTAACTGGCTTCGTTTTAATGTCGAGTTTATTGCAAAAAATCTTCGGGCTTCGAGAGGAACTCACAGCCAGTGTGATTGGGGAAACAATAAACTTGGCTTTATTGCTGCTTTATGTAAGTTAACGTAAGCTAACCAAGATAACTGAGCAGCCAAAAGATGTTAAAAGTTTAACGTAATCCGAGGAATGCAAAGAACATACATCTTGCTTCAAAAATGAGTATTTCACTTTTAGAAAAATCTAAAATTTGTATAATAATTTTGTTAACCAACTTTTATTGTGAATCTCTTAGGGAACTATCTATGCATTACATACAAGAACTTTCTTAGCGCCTTTTAAGGGGATAAACCAATATTTACTCTACTTGCTTGTGACTCTACAGCAGCTGCATCCATATCTTTATCGGATGCAATTGATCTGTTCCGAGTGCAGACAAAATTATTTTCTTGGCACGCTTTCAAGGAAAAGCCTAATGGCTCTTGAGGGGATTTATTCAATTTGGTATTTACCCCTACTTCTCATCGAAAGCTTCGCTGGTGCTGTAAACTGGCTGCAGGCGTCTTGGAAATTTACGCAAATATTCGGCGAAATGTTGGGCATATTTGGCCTGAAAATCACGACGCCTCCAGGGCTGAGCGGGCTCATAGAAATTCTCGTTATTATTGTACGTATTTGGATAGTTATTTGTGGCCAGGGAGCGACTGCCGCCAATTTGGACCACTTGCTCCTCATCGCGACGCGAATCGCTGGTATCCAACTCCGGATTTCTTTGCGGATATGGCTGGAGCTGAGGTGGAAAAGATTGGGGATATCGGAGTGGTGGTGAAGGCGTACTCTCCTGCTGTTGATAGTAATAGTAGCCTGGCACATTGTTGTAGTTGTGATTGGGGGCACGTGTTGGCTCCTCTCTCCGCCAGTGTGGATATGGTTGTCTATAGGAGGGTTGCGCTCCATAATAACCATTGCCTTTTGGATACTGCTGCTGTTCCTGGGCACTGTACTGATTATCATTCACTATGATAGGAGGACCCGACCATAGCGATTGCACATCTGGATTGGCGTAGTTGGATGTGGTAATTGCATAAGCATTGCCATAAGGTGATGCATACTGAGCGCTCCCGCCAACTGCATCGATCATCAGGGGCATAAATGCATAAAGCTTAATGTAAATGTAATCATTAATAGATTAATCATCTCGGGTGTCGGATGGAATCTAGCGAAACACTCACCCAGCTCAGCGAACTGCTCTTCACGATCCGTCCTGTTTGCGGCTTCATTTCTGACTGTTCAGAACGATTTATGCTAATAACGTATTTATATGAGGTTCCACAACAGTCTCTCTGGAAAAGCATGTATACTCGTACATAGTATAGTAATGTATAGTAGTGCATGATGTTCGTTTGCAGCGCCTTTGTCAAGGTGATTGGATGAGCAACCCGACTTTGACTGACTCAAAAATTCAGCGGCGGCGTTTCTGTTAAGTTTGTATATATTTTTTTTCTCACGCACGTTTTTTTGCAGCCCTGACAGCTTAAGTGCGGCATCGTTGTTTTGGGCCTGGCCCGAAGTGGAAAACCGTTTGGAAGCATTGGCAGCACGGGCGGCAGGCAAATTGCGGTGTCACGTACCGCGTAATTAGTAATTAGATTTTCAAGTCAACCGTAATTAGAGGTTAACAAGAGCGAGTGTTAGTTAGCAAGCTGAATACCTATGATCTTGTGGGCAAAAGTGCTTGCTATAAGAAAAACTTACTAGTCCTTTTCCTTGCCAAAAAAGCTAAAACCGAATCCAAATTGGAAACAACTCGAGCTCGCTTTATTTACTATCGTAAAGAGTATTAACCCACATTTGGTATAAAAAATACAAATTGAATTTAGCTGGCTTGCCTCCCAAAGCCAATTCACTTTTATAAATTTGGCTGCATGTGATAGATAAAGAATGCCCCATCACGTGGCACAGGAAGCTGGCGGAGGAACGCACCACCATCGTACGAATCGCTAAACAATTGGGTTAGATTGGCATTGGGTTCTTTCGGCCTGGCAATGGGCATTCCGTGGCACGTACTATCGCGCGTTAAGTACTGAAAAGTGGCATAAATATCACAAATAAAATATTCAAGTAAGGATTTCCTTTTAAACGCACCATCTTCTCCCGTATGCTGGTCAAGTTTTGTGGTGGCGGAGGATGGTTGAAGGGCTCCATCTTGAATATGTTATCGCCACAGCACTTGAGCAGATGGGATGCTATTATGTTCCTAGATCTAGCTTCTGCTGCATTGTGAGGTGGCTGGCGCAGCTTGTCCATCCACATGGTGGCCATCGTTTTGGAGCGGAAATCCAGCTGGCAAATGCTGCGCTCCAACTTCTCAATGTCCCGCTCGAATTCGTCGTCGAACTTGGTGATTTCTGCATTCACTCGTTTGGAGGAAGTGGATGCCTCCTGCCTCAGGTGATCCCGCTGCAATTCCTTTTCACGCTGACGTTCCTTCTCCAGTTCCTTGTGCCACTTCTGCTGATTCTGCTTTTCCTGCTCCTTTTCGCGAGCGATTTCCTTTCGCCGTTCCACTTCCCGTTTGCGTTCCATTTCCTGCTCCTTCCTACGCTCCTTGCGATCCTCCTTGCGATCCTCCTTTCGCGCAGGACTAGGATTCTTTTCAGGCTTCTGCGATTCGGAATCCTCCATGTCATAGCTCTTCTTCCTGTTTTTGCGAGCGGTGCGAATCAACATCCCAAAAAATTGTTTAGGAAACTAATAAATAAATTTCAATTTACCCTCGCACTTCTCCTTTGTAAATATTTTTTAATATGCTCCTAAATCCCTTAGTGTTCGGCTTGCTCATTTTGACGGAAGTTTCCAAATGATCCCAGATCTCATCTGTTTTCAAAATAACTTTAAGCTGTCAAGCATGTTCAATATTTAAAATCATTTTTAAAGAGATACTTTTATGAATTGTTTTGTAACTTTCTATTTTGCAGATGAAAACCCCCGCCATACAGAACGATTTTAGCTACTACAGACGCATCGTCAGTCGACAGCGTGTGGACTCCACGGAGAACATGCTGGTCAGCACGGAACTGGCCAACCGGATGTCCTTGTTCTACGCCCACGCCACGCCCATGCTCAAGGTGCTGAGCGAGGCGACCTCAAAGTTCGTCAATGACAATGCCGACGATGTCCAGAACACGACGGAAACGCTGGGCACCATGGCCAAGGTGTGCCTGAGGATGCTGGAAAATCCGTGAGTTTAAGTGAACATTTCCCAGTGACAATCAGCATTCTAATCGATGGAACCATTCCTTGCAGAAAACTCCTGCAACAGATCGAGCGTGAGGACACGAAAATGCTGGTGCTGCGCGTGATGGTCGGCCTGGTGATCCTCTACGACCATGTGCATCCGGAGGGGGCCTTCGTGCGGGGCGCCCATGTGGACGTGAAGGGCTGCGTCCGACTGCTGCAGGCGCAACCGGCCATCAAGGCGGAGCCGCTGCTGAATGCCCTGCGATACACGACGAAGCACTTGAATGGGGAGAACACGCCGAAGAATATACAGCGTTTGTTGGCCGCATAATATCGGAGGGGATCGGAGTGGACGGAGAGTTCATTAACGTTAATTTCTGTGTGTATGCGTATCGATTTAAATGGTTTTACTTTTATTTATGTAATTAGTAGGCTTCTGTATTATTTGTAAAAATTGTGTGTGCGAGTGTTGTGCTAGCAGGAGGCAGCCTCTAGTTTTATTTTTACCCTGTGTGCATTTTCAGCATTTGTTTCGAACTGTTTTAGACTCCAGCCGCCTCCACGTAACGTAGCGAAGAAGTCGGACAAAGTGGGGACGCGCCTATACATATATCAGCAGCAACAATATTTAGTTGATAATCTAGCCCTAATTTTAAGTAATGCAAGGAACCCAAGTAACCTAAAAACAAATTAGCGCAAAGTTTAAACTGATGGTTGGGGAGAAATGTAAGAGATAAATCCTAAATTCCACTAATGCAGAGATTATAAATATAAAAATCAACACTTTTAAATCAAATCTAGAGTATTTTTTTGTACATGACAATGTGTAGAACGAGGTGTAAAGATCTAAACAATGCATAAACTAATTGATTATTAAAACACGAATTGTACGACCTAAAATGCCTACACACAACTGAACCACAAGCTAAAGAGCGGATGCATTTATATATTTTCACGCCGTCAACTTTGATAAACGTATTTAAACAAATCTACAACAGAATAAACTTGAGCTGCGCAATAATAATAATTTTTAAGATTTACAAATAGAAATAAAGGATTAATAAAATGGCAAAACTTAACGCATACAATTTGTACCAAAAAAAAAATGAAAGAACAATGAAAATTCACACAAACTAAATAAAGATTTATATATTCGATAAGAGCGAGAGGAAACTGAAGAAAAAACTAGATAATGCTGAATCAAAATAAATATCACGCAAAATCAACCACATGTTTTTTATGCTGCTTTAAAATTTATTTTAATCCAGGTTATAAAATAATATATTTAAGGTGCTGGTAATTTCATTCATTTTAAAAGTGGCTGAACTTTTGTTCTGTACTTGAACGACCGAACATATTTGAAAATCCAAACAATTTCTCACATTCTTTGTTCAATATTGCTCTTTATTAAAAGTTAAAGGCGGTTAAAGATCGATGAAGTTGTCGTCACGCCCTACACAACATGGAGAAGTCTAGCCGCAGCAGGCGACATCATCGTGCTTGTGCGGAGCCTGCACGTCATCGGCGAAGTGAACGCTGCGGACCACCGGGTGGTGATGGTGGTCATCGCCAGCCATTGGTGCCTCGTTGTCGTTGAGTTGGGGAAGAGCTAAAAAGTATGGAAAGCAGTTAAGTAGAGCTGATACCGGCCGTTACCCATTGCAATCCTTGCCAGAGGCCATGAAGAAGGCGAGGCCCAGGATGAGAGTGCACACGAGTAGGAACTTCATGGTAAAGCTGGCTTGATGTACAGATGGCTTGGTTGCTTCTGATGCCTTGGAGCTGCTCGGACTGGCTATTTATACAGAACGCGGCTCTCTGAAAACCGCACTAAATACGCAAAAACACTTGTCGTTGCACAATTTTGGTGCACCTCATTAGCTACAAATGAATTTATATTGAAATGTCGCTTGGTGTATTTGGCAGCGATGGGTAACGCCATTAACGAAACACATAAAGCTTAACAATTGATTTCTTCTCTTTTTGTTTTTTGTACAATGGAGCTTCTATAATTAAACAAAAGTAGGGGGAAGGGGGCTTTAAATTAGAGGTACTTTAAAATGACGCTTACAAAGCGAGGGTGTCCGAATCAACATATAGGCAAAAAGAAAAGTAGAAGGGAACTAGCAATTAACTAAATAAATGTCCTGGAAGCTGGCCGGTGCTCATGTACTGTTGTTGTTACTCTGTCGCGGCTTGAGTATCAGCTTCCCCGTGTCATCACAGCTCATATTGAAGTCGCCCAGTACCGTTCGCGTTCTCGATGTAATGATTTGCGGCGCTATGACTAGTTTCTGTATGCCCAGGATGAAGAGGACGACTGGAGAGCGAGTAAAAGGTTTACAATATCAGTTAATAGGTTTATAACTAAAAAAGGATTAGATAAGTTTAATGGAAGTATTTGCTAGCTGAAATTCTTAATCAGTTGCCCTATCAATATTACGGCGATATGGTAGAATACCAACTTAATGAGGGCATTAAATCGAACTCGATTAAGTGAAGAGCCACGATAAGTTTAAAGAAAACCTAATATAGCTTAAATGTGAAGAATGTGTGTAGTTTGTCATGCCATCATTTATATTCTATAGCTGTATGGAAGCCCAGAAATAATAAAGTAGTGTATTCTACTTCACACACAGATTAAATATAAGAAAAGTTTGATATCATAGATTGAGTGGTTTTTCGCCACTATGCTTTTCACAGCTAGAATACATAGTATCTACTTGATTTGCGATATGATTATGTGATTAGGTAATAGTAAAGTCAATTTTGAAATGGAATCTAAACTAGCCTCTATACTAGACAGAAAATCTAAGGTTCAATGGCCGCCGCCTTTGACTACATAAAGTGACCTATGTACGGAGTACAGTAGAGAGTGACCCGATTCTTACTCAATGTCAGGGTGGCGACTGTGAAGATCGGATGGATCCAGAGGGACTCCGTTAGCGGTACGACGGTGGTGCGCGGATCGCGCAGCCAGTACCAGGCGCTGATGGCGGTGCACATGGACATGGCGGAGAGGACAACTGCAAGAAGTTCTACGGTTATTACGGGCTGTACACTGCTCCCTGCTGTTCTCGTCGTCCGGATTCAACTTACTGCGCCAGCGGAACGTCGAGGGGCGGTACGATGAAACCACTTCGGTGAGGCGCCGCTCGAAGGCCTTGAGATCTGCAAGGGAAGCGAGGAAAACAAACCCAGTTATGGTTGGTAAACATAGTCAGTGGCTTGCGCGTTTTTCCGGCTGGCTCTCTTTTGCCGGTGAGTTACCTTCACAGGCTGCCGGTTCCATTACAGCTATTTCCTCAAAGCTCGTGGCCGTCTTGATGATATTGAATTTGTCCAGTTTAAATATTATTGTATATATTGTTATTATTTGATGGGGTTCTCATAGCTTTCTTTTCCTTTTTTGTGTTTTTGATGATATTCCACGTTTGACAGCACTGAGAACGGGGCGCGTTACTCAACACTGAAGTGCAGGGACGTACGATAGAGGTGTTAATAGTCTTTTGCTAATTTTCTCCTTCCAGTACAACAGGGTTATTTATCTCATTTAAGCGCAGTATTATATTTATGTATTCAAATACAAAAATAAAATAAAATAAAATATTTTTCAGACATAGATGTTTGAATTATTTACCGTACAAATATTGATCCCTTTAAATGGTTTTGTGCATACGCCCATGCGTTAAGGTTATATTTCCGACTGTAGAACGGTCACACTGCGCGGAAGCTGTTGCAAAAAAGGCGGAAAATAAACGTTGCAAAATCAGGTTATTTATACGTAAAAGCAACAAATTTAAAGTGCTTCGAAGGCATTATGAATAGCACAAAAGTGCCGCCCGAGTGGAAGAGGCGTGTCAAGTCGGAATATATCAAAATCAGGCAGCAGAAGCGCTACAAGCGCGCCGACGAGATCAAGGAGGCGTGGATAAAGAACTGGTAAGCGCGGGAAGGAGATGGTAGATGTCTGGAATCGAAAACAACTCAATTATATGTACATATATCCTTCAGGGACGAGCACAACCACAATGTACAGGACCTGTACTGCGAGTCGAAGGTTTGGCAGGCTAAACCCTACGATCCGCCGCATGTGGACTGCGTGAAGCGGGCGGAGGTGACCAGCTACAATGGCATTCCCAGCGGTCCACAAAAGGTGCCCATCTGCGTGATCAATGCTGTCACCCCCATACCCACCATGTACACGTGGGCGCCAACGCAGCAGAACTTCATGGTGGAGGATGAGACGGTGCTGCACAATATACCCTATATGGGCGACGAGGTCCTCGATAAGGATGGCAAGTTCATAGAAGAGCTGATCAAAAACTACGATGGCAAGGTGCACGGCGACAAGGATCCCTCGTTCATGGACGATGCCATCTTTGTGGAACTGGTGCACGCCCTCATGCGCTCCTATAGCAAGGAACTGGAGGAAGCCGCTCCGGGTACGTCATCGACGGCCATTAAAACAGAGACATCTGCGAAACCCAAAACGGGCGATGATGATGGGGAAGTGGATGTGGATGCAGATGATGAATCTCCCAAGAAACTGGAGAAAACCGACAGCAAAGTGGATCCGACTGTGGTTGAGAAGAAGGAAAAGGAGGAGCCGGAGGAGACTGAAGATGCTGATGTTAAGCCCGCTGTGGAGGATGTCAAGGACAAGCTGCCCTTCCCTGCCCCCATTATTTTTCAGGCCATCAGCGCCAACTTTCCAGACAAGGGCACTGCGCAAGAGCTCAAAGAAAAGTATGTAATTCGATAGCCTGGGTAGTAAATAGATTGGTTATGCTAATTCCCTTTGCCAGGTACATTGAGCTGACGGAGCATCAGGATCCGGAGCGCCCCCAGGAGTGCACACCCAACATTGATGGCATCAAGGCCGAGAGCGTTTCCCGGGAGAGGACTATGCATTCCTTTCACACGCTCTTCTGCCGGCGTTGCTTCAAATACGACTGCTTCCTGCACCGTAAGTTAAACCATGGGAACTGCTGCCAGCTGGGTTACCTAATGACTTTACGTTTTGTTTTTGCTTTTCTTTTCTTGTTTGGAAACAATATTATCTTGCCAAAAAAAAAAAAAAACAATCTGTACCTTATCTTATACCCAAAAAAAACGAAATTCCAAAATGTTGTATTGAATTAATTGCAATTTAGGTCACCATGTGCAGGGTGAGTCGTTGTTGTAGTTGTTGTTTCGATAACCACACGCACACACTCTCATGCCGTTTGCCCGTCAACGCCTCCGCATCCTCATCTCGCTGTCTATGAATATAATTTTAATAATCCCTCATATCAGTGGATAATTGGCTATGTTTGTCATGTCTAAATGTCTAAATTGCCCACTCGGTGTTGCTCACCTCATTTCGCGTGGCTTTGGCATCGACCATTTCTGTCTATCTCTTCAAATGTAACCGATTACCCTCATGCTAATCCAAAAGCGTTTCATAGACATCAAGTGATTTCTGTCTCGATTGAGTTATTCTAATCCCTCTGCTCTCTGTTCGCAGGCTTGCAAGGACATGCGGGCCCCAATCTGCAGAAGCGGCGCTACCCGGAACTGAAGACCTTCGCGGATCCCTGCAGTAACTCCTGCTACATGTTGATCGTAAGTTGGATGTACTTTACAGATTGCAATGGTATAGTAATGTTAACTTATTATGCAGGATGGCATGAAGGAAAAGCTGGCGGCTGATAGCAAAACACCGCCCATTGATTCCTGCAATGAGGCGAGCTCCGAGGACAGTAATGACAGCAACAGTCAGTTCAGCAACAAGGACTTTAACCATGAGAATAGCAAGGATAATGGCCTGACAGTGAATAGTGCCGCTGTGGCTGAGATCAACTCCATTATGGGTCAGTTTTTGGTTAGCAGGAATGGTTGGTACATGTATTAAACATTAACTCATCCTCTCCAGCTGGCATGATGAACATCACCAGCACGCAGTGCGTTTGGACTGGTGCTGACCAAGCACTTTATAGGGTTTTGCATAAAGTTTACTTGAAGAACTACTGTGCGATTGCACACAACATGCTCACCAAGACCTGCCGCCAGGTGTACGAGTTTGCCCAGAAGGAGGACGCCGAGTTTAGCTTCGAGGATTTGCGACAGGACTTTACACCTCCGCGCAAGAAGAAGAAGAAGCAACGCCTGTGGTCACTGCATTGCCGTAAGATTCAGCTGAAGAAGGACTCATCCTCGAATCACGTGTACAATTACACACCCTGCGACCATCCAGGCCATCCCTGCGACATGAACTGCTCCTGCATTCAGACGCAAAACTTCTGCGAGAAGTTCTGCAACTGCAGCAGCGATTGCCAAAATCGTTTCCCCGGCTGCCGCTGCAAGGCTCAGTGCAACACGAAGCAGTGTCCTTGCTACCTGGCGGTGCGCGAGTGCGATCCCGATCTCTGCCAGGCCTGCGGAGCGGATCAGTTTAAGCTGACCAAGATCACGTGCAAGAACGTGTGTGTGCAGCGGGGACTGCGTAAGAAACTTTGTTTTATATACCCGTATTCCATCTTTGGTTCCTAAGGAGATATGATTGCATGAATCGTTTACAATCTTAAGGGGTCAAATTATGCAACGGAGTAGATTTTCTACCCTGTCAACTAACAGATTATCATCATTTGCAGACAAACACCTGCTCATGGCTCCCTCTGACATCGCCGGCTGGGGCATCTTTCTTAAGGAGGGTGCGCAAAAGAACGAGTTCATTTCGGAATATTGTGGCGAGATAATATCCCAAGATGAAGCTGATCGGCGTGGCAAAGTGTACGACAAGTACATGTGCTCGTTCCTTTTCAACCTGAACAACGACTTTGTTGTGGATGCCACTCGAAAGGGCAACAAGATTCGGTTCGCCAATCATTCCATCAATCCCAACTGCTATGCCAAGGTGATGATGGTCACCGGCGACCATCGCATAGGGATCTTTGCCAAGCGGGCCATTCAGCCCGGCGAGGAGCTCTTCTTTGACTATAGATACGGACCCACAGAGCAGCTGAAGTTCGTGGGTATCGAGCGTGAAATGGAAATAGTTTAATAAAGAGTCTACTCAAGAAAATCGTATCATACAAATTCAATAAAACTATATTTTCGGAAACAGACCTAAACGGATTTGGCTACATTGGCTATAATTGGTTTGGGTCGCGATTTGAAGATCAACTTTTTGGTGCAAACAGCGCGCACAGTGTACTCGGTTCTCTGGCGACTCTTGTGCTCCTGGGCAATCGTGTGATCCAGCACTGTGCGCTCCGCTCCTGTGGTGGCATTCAGCATACTGACATCCTGCGAGGCCATGCTCGTTTCCAGGAGTCGTTCGCCCTCATTGGACTTGGACTTTTCCAGCACCGCAAACGGTTTATCCAACTTTTGTTCGCGTCCCTGAAGAATGTGATGGCCTATGATGAGTATCTGGTGTACAAGAATTCAGATTATTTAAGTGCTCGTCGAACTATACAGTTTATATTTGATTGCAACTCACGGGTTGGCCATATTTGTTATAGTACAGATCGCCAATGAACTGGTCGTGCATATCCTGGTTGCTCCTCACCTCCAGGTCACCTTGCAGCTCTACAATGGCCCAATCGCCTTTGCCAGCGTTTTGCCTGAAATGAAGCCATTGTTTTGGGTTATTAGAGTATAAGAAAGTGTACTTAAAAGCCCAGTTTCCACGAAAAAACGTCCTCAATTTTGGTCAGAATTTTATTCATGCTTCACAGTGGTTAGTGACTTTCCCAAGTCTATCCCCTGAATTTCTTGAAAAGCGGATGCACGCTTCCAACATTCTTTTTGCGATACTCGTAGTAGACGGCGTCATCTCCGCCCGACATCGAGCTCAGTCCGCCAACTCGTCTCACGTTGCCGCCTGAGCCACTGGGACGGAAGCCCGGCTCGCCCGGCAGCTTCTCATCCTCGCAATCCAAATCGGAAGCGGACAGCACCAGCTGCAGCAGTTGTCCCTGCTCCTCCTGTGTGCCGTACATCAAATCCGTGTCCGTATCCATGCCCTTGAGATGCGTGATAACCTTGTAGCTGTAGCCCTGGTTGACCAAGAACCGCTGTCGCTTGCGGGAGTAGCTCATCTCCATGGTATCCTGCGAGACGAGTGTGTAGAAGAAGGCGTTGTACTCCTCGGCAATCGCGCCCTTCTTGGCACGCAGAATGCGACCCAGACGCTGGGCCTCCTGACGACGGGAACCGCCATGCGAAGAGATCTGGATAAGCACATTGGCTTCGGGCAAATCGAAGCTGGTGTCTGCCACTTTGGACACGAAGATTGTATTGACCTGCAATAATTCGTGGTTAATAAATGTTCCTAGCACTGTTCAAAAGTTGGCACTCACTTTGGAGTTAAACTTAAAGTTCTGGAGGATCTGGATACGCTCGTTCTGCGAGGTGGGACCATAGATGAAAGGCTTGTTCATTTTGATCGCATAGTGCTTCAGCGCAAACACGTTATCCGAGAAGACAATCGTTTTGTCGCCTCGCTGCTCGTGATACTTAATAAGGAACTGGCAGCTGCGGAACTTGGAGGGATTCATCACATAGAGCAACATCTTCTTGGATGTCTTGGTGGTCAGGTATTCGCGATAGAACTCCGGTGACATGGGACACCACACCTCGGCGCACTGGACGCGTGCAATATAGCCCTTCTTTTGCAGCTCCAACCAGTTGGCCTCGTACAGTTTGGGCCCAATGAGGAAGTTGAGATCCGCAATTTTGTCATCTTCGCGCAGAAGTGTGGCCGTCAGTCCCAGCTTGCAGTGAGATTGAACGATGGTCAGCACGCGGCGGAACATTTTGGCTGGAATGGTGTGCACCTCGTCCAGCACCATGATGCCCCATTCCTGCTCCTGCAGCCAACGCATGGTCTGCTCTGCTTCCCACGACCTCTTTTGAGTGTGCGTTATCATCGAGTATGTGGTCACTAGAATACCGCAACCCATGGGTTTGTCTTTGGCTTCAGAGGTGAATCTACAAATCATGCTGTCATCAGCGGTGGACCACATCTTAAACTGCTGCTTCCACTGCTCCACAGACACACCACTGTTGCACAGGACTAGGGCCCTTTTTCGTACGGTGCAGCATGCTGTGACACCCACCAAGGACTTTCCTGCGCCACATGGTAGTACAATAACCCCAGAGCGGGCTCTTCCATTGCCGAACATCTTGCGCAGACTCTTCTCCTGATAAGGACGCAAAACGGCAGCGGGTTTGAGGTCTATATTAATGTCTGGATTGTTGGTATCGTTGCGGAAATCGTACTCCGCCAATAGAGGATGCTCTATCTCGATGCACCGCTTCTGGATCACTTCGATCTTCTCCTGGGCCACCTCAAAGGAGACGGTCTTCAGATTGGCCTCATCCTCGTCCTCCTCCTCCTTGTCGATCTTCTCGTAGAAGTCTGTGATATCTTCCGGCACTGCCGTGGTTCCATCAGCGGCTGCAGCAGCTCCTCCGGCTGCTGCAGCATCTTCTGCTGGCTTATCCGTGGCTCCTGGTGGCAGTTTGGTTCCAAATTGAGTAATGGCCTTGCCGTCCAGAGTGCCCTGAATGAAATCCTCTCCCTCGCTGCGTATGAGGCGGCACTTCTGGATCACTGGATCCTTAAGTAACTTCTGCAGCACCTCGGGATGGGGTGACTCAATAAAGTACTTGTTGTGCTTCAAGACCAGCTTGACCTTGCCATAGGACAGTGTGCAGAGGCGTATAAACTCCAGGATGCCTTCGGGAATGCTGGTCTTGCTCAGTCTCTTCAGGTATTCCACGATGTCATGGGTTTGCAGGCCCACCGAAACAGCGGCATATAAACTGTAGGCGGTGAGTTTGTACTCGTGAATGTGTTCGGGTCGGCAGACGGGCTCCGAAATGGCAATAAGAAAGTCATGGGCATGCTTGTAGACGGGCGAGAAGGATTCGAGGAAGACGTGACCATTGGGAGCAACCCAAAGTGGTCGATTTCCGTGATCCGGACGCAGTTGCATCTGCGAACGATAATCCTTGGCCCCGTACTCATCCGTATTGATCTGCTCGTCATTGGTCTCCGCATTCTTGGATGCTGCGCCCGGAACTCCGTCCGATTCCGTGGCGTCCAAGCTATCATTGTCGTCCACCAGTTGGGTGAATGCCTCATCCTCGGCACGCCGCTTTTTGGCTGGGAATGGTTCTTAGGTTACAGCATAGTTCGTTCGCTTTCCATGTGTCCCACACTCACCGAACTTGTCCCCGCCGCTGCGATCCTTTTTCGACTTTTTCGGCGGTCCCATTTAAACAAAAATCGAGCAACAATTTCACAACAAATCCGCGAGCTCAACAAATTAAACAAAGATATCGATGTCGTTCGATAAACTTTGCTGCACTAAGCTAAAGCAAGTATGGCAACGCCGCTACTTGAGTGCCCCGTAGAATACTGCTTGTTTTTGCTAGCTTTCATCTTACTTAAATAGTTGCTTTCACTGCACCTCAGGCTACTTACGTTTTCACTACAATGGGCATGCTGCGTTGGTGTTTTTAACTGCAAATAGTTGATAAATCACGTATAAACACTGAGGACCGCCTAAAGCCGCTTCGACTCTTTTGCAACACTGATTTATCAGTAGTCGATAACTTAGAAGTACTACCTTGCCACCCTGCGTAGCGTCAGCTGTTCGCGGTTTTAGAATCACTGGCTATTCAAACGGAAATTCAAAAAGTGAAATATAATGTAGGTTTTTATTTTGAGTTTTTTATCCACAGATTTCTCTTTGCAATCCCATGTGCCTCGATCGAATGATCATTAGATGTGAGAATTTAGCCCTGTGCCTACACAATGGCCGCCGAAAAGAAAAAACACCCACCAAAAAAGAAGAAGGCACCAGAGAAAAAACACAGCAAATCAAAAAAAAAGAGTTCTGTGAATTCCAATTTGCCCAAAATATGTTTCGGCATAGCAATTTTCGATCTGCTGCATGCGTTATATTTTACGGTCCAAACAATGATTCTGCTGGTTAAACAGGTTGGTGTTGTTTAATTAAAAAACAAATTACTTAATACTTATTTTATTAAAAAAATAGTTCAGCGTGTTTGCTATACTGGCGCTTTTGGGTGTCATTTTCTGGGTTATAATTGTCATCATGTTGTTGGTTGGCCTTTCCAAGGTGTGTTGCAATTTATTCATTTAATGGTATTCAAATTAAATTGGTTACCATATCAGCGCAAGCCAGTTTTCGTTAGGTATTGGCTTATATTTTCCTTAGCCGGCTTTATCGCCGATATTCTATTTCTACTCTGGGGCATTGCGACTTCAATAACCGTGGATTGGGATCGACTTGAAGAGTTTTCACTAGTATTCCTTGGTATATGTAAGTTAAGTTTAAATTTAAAATCAAATACCATATCAATGTTGAGTATAATCTTAGTTATTGAAAGCACCTGCATATATATCATACATCGATACTATCAGATTATGGATGAAACGAAAAAGAAGAGGACCTTATGTTGTAAGCTAACTTAACTTAAAACTAATATTAGATATTTACAAATCGACTTTTTATAGGTGGCGGGAAAAAAGACAAAAAAGACAAGAAAAAGTCGAACAAAAGCCCCACTAAGAAGAAAGGCAAAAAATAAGTCCATATGCTGTAACTTAAGTTGGCTTTGTCTTTCCAACCCAAATAAAATATATTTTTATTATATTACTTAAAACAGTTGTGTGGTTAATCGAAGTAGAATAAATTTATTTCACGAATAATGTCGGGAGAGTTGAGTTTTCCTAAGGATAATCTCCTAAGAACTTGCTTTCTTATTGCTGCTTGCGAACTGTTGCGTTCAGTGTATTTCTCATTTAGTTCAGTTTCAGTCATGATTTTGCACGTAAGTACTTTAAAATACCCTTTTTAATATTTTTAGCAATTTTCTGGATTTGCATTAGTCGAATACGTATACCATAATGGCTTTTTCAAGTACAGTAGCTTGGATTTTCACTGTTATTGCACTGTTTGTAGGTTTATCAAAGGTAAGAGTTTAAAATAAGTCTGGAAAATATTTATTTATAAAACTTTATTAATATAATATCGTTTAGGGGCGACCAACTCTGCTCGTATTTTGGTTACTTTTCACTTGCTTTGCAACTGTTACGGATATTATTTATCTGATATGGAATGTTACTTCGTCTCCCATTTTTGATGCGAAGCATTTCAAGCACTGGACCATTTCGTATTTGGGAATCTGTATGTTTTAGTTTGAATAGAATTCTTATATTGATTTCAAAATCGTTGCAGTTTACGAGGTCACTTGCCTGTACTTGGTATTCAGATACTTTAGAAGACTGTATTCCTACATCCTTTTGGAGGGCGATAACTATGATGTGACCTCTAAAGGTGAAAGTAGTAAACTTAGACTTATGCCACATACTATATGAAATTTTTACTTAGGCACAGCAGATTGCAAAGGCAATGAAACTGAAACAGAAACACATAGGGGGACCAGTCAAACGAGTACTGGTGGATATTAAACTAGTTTGGACAAAAGCGAGAATAAGCTTTATAATAAAAATCATTTATGTCGTTTCAATATGTTCAATGCTTACTAAAATAAATTATAAATGTGTTTCATGCGCTGTTTGGATTTCTATTCACCGGAAATCAAAACCCGCCCCCTATCAGCAATGATAATAATTGACTTATACAGCTTTCCATTTATTTTCTTATGCCTTGGAGGCGGATAAGTAGTCACGGACCAGGAAAAAGGACAATTCAATCTCCAGGACATGCTGACAAAACAAATGCCATAAATGAGCAGCGCACAAACTTCTCATATCTTCGTCGGCAAAAAGCACTTCACATTGGTCTGGATTGTTTTGGGAATACACTTCGAATTAGTTTTTCGAGCTTCGTATTTGAATGGAATGGATTGGCACATATAATTGTGTGTATAAATTAAATGGTAATTTTTCCTTTGGAAATGTAAAAAATTACGACAATGCTTGCAAATAAATATGTTGAATTCCCAGCTGGGTTTCTTTTATGTGTATATACAGAAAATTTCCTTGGAATATTGAGGAATATTAATTTATGTATTTGCCTATACTTTTGGCCACTGTATTTTCCACTTTCCCAAGCCGTAAAACCACTGTGCTGCGTCTGTGAATGTTGGCAATCAAACGGCTTTGATTAACAGGCCAAGACCCGAAGGGGGTACCCCTCTCCTATCGCCAAGTACGTGCTTATCATCATTATAGCTTTGATTTAGTAGACAACATTGCCAGTGATGTGATGAATCTCGGCCTGGGCGATGGGGTCGAATTCTGATGGATATTTAGTGCCCTGCGCCTATTGCATCGCCTTGCTGGACTTCATATCCGCCATGCTATTCGCAATTATCTCAGGAGTGGTATTTGCCAGGCATGTAAGACAATTAGCCCTCAGTCCTTTCACGGAAATTGTGCTTCGATTTTGGTATTCGCAGGGTCATTGGTCCGCCTTGCTAGCCCTGATCTTCACCCTTTTCTGGATGCTCATAATCATAGTTCTTCTGGCGGGTATCTATAGACGGAAGCTGGGACTGATACGATTTTGGTTGGTGTTCACCTGCTTGGGCATACTCCTAGATGGATTTATACTGCTCTACGGCCTGACTTTGGCCATATCTGTGAACTGGGAGGGTGTCAAAATCACAGTGCTGCCCTTCGTGGGACTGGGTTAGTCTAAGTATTAGCCTATATCATTACTGAATTTCATTGAAGTACTTTTCAGCTGTGGAAATGACTTTTGTCTATATCATTTACCTACTGTATCTGGACATGATTGATTACAGTGCATCAGAATCGCCTTATGAAGAGAAGTATAGGGAAAGGAGTGGCTGTGAAGTGGAATACGCTGAGGAGGAGGAAAAGCCACCACTGGATCGCAAGGATCTGAAACGCATGGAAAAACAAGCCAAGGAGCGCATGAAAAGGGATAAAGCCGTGCTCAAAAAACTGCAGAAGCAAATGCGAAAGTAAAGGAATTTAATATTTAGAGCACTTCTTTTTATATTTTTAAAATAAACATTAAAATGAGTGCCTTGATTAGAGCTTTAAGCAGCGCAGTATTTCTTTTTGTCGCCGACAAGCTCTTCAACTTTTATCACACTCAGGATGCGGACCTCCACACACCTACACAAGCCACTCACACACCCACGCACACACACCCACACACGCGAACGCCAATGTTAAACACAAAATCCTTTTAAAATAATTTGCTCAGCAGTGAGTAAGGAAAAAAAATCAAGAAATATACATTCGCCTTCGAATTCGAAGAGCCGCGTGCCCTGTAGATAAATATGATATACCTCATATTTTTAAAGGCATATATTTATATAGGTATATATTATTTACACATTTATAAGGTATAAAATAAAATGTAAGCCTTCATTTTACGTTGTCGAGCTGGTGTCACAAGTTCGATTAAAACCCAGCTTCATGGGTTGAGTCGGCGCGTTTGGAACTATGTTTGCCCTGTGATTTTGGGTTTGATGAGGTCTTTTGGTCTCTCCATTGCTAGAATGCTGCCTTTCATAATCCATACAAGCTTGTTGTTGTGCTATCTTTGAGGTTAAAGCTTTATGACACGCTTGACAAAAAGCCAAAGTCACGTAAAAGCGTTGAACGATGTACAGAAAAATGCACTCCACAACTGAAGGCAATAAAATCAATCTAATTGTAGGGTGATACTTCTAATATGGCACTCACCCAGTCCCAGCATGAGCAGCAATCCATTTTTGACCAGACCCATTTGGAAGGAGCTCTCATTAAAAACGGCATACAGCACCAGGCACATCTCGACCATGATTCCCACGCAGGAGAAGATAATCCAGGCACGAACACATCTGGCATTGCGCTGTAATTAAGCGGAGGATACCATCACACAGCCACCATGAACTGGCTTTTTAAATACGAGTATACCCCATGAATGCCAACCAGGAGCATCACAATCATTGTTATCCAAAAGAGGCCAAAGACAGCGGCAAAAATTGTCAGCCAACTCAGCTGGAAAGTTTGAAGATTTCCAAAGACTTTCTATTCTATTCAAGGATGCAAAGGGTAGCCTTACGTGATCGCATATTGTCTTCAAGCTGACCATAGAAAAGAGCATGGCGCTGATCAGATCAAAGCATCCGATGGCATAGGCCCATACCAAGAGCGAATTGTTGCTGGGGCTCATGTCGAAAATGGGAAACATTTTTGTGGCAATTGAAGATAGGAGCATTTGATCACTTGAAAAATATACAAAGTATTTAGTTTGGCACAACGAAAAGATAATGCCAGTAAACTATAGTTTATTTATTATCAAGCATTTTTCTTAAAATATAATTATTTTATATTGAAGAATAAAAATATAATAATAATATAATAAAAAATATAATAATTATAATATTGAATGTGCTCTATCATTTAATACTCTTTGTATTCTAGGTACTTTTGCTAACCAAAGCTAATCAAATTACTCGATGTTCGATCACACTCCACACACGGTATCAAAGCGGAAACGGAAATGACAGCCGAGTCTCGCTGCTATGGCTGTCGCATCTATTTATGCAGGGGAGAAATGAGACATACCACCGTATAGTGTACGTAAGTACATAAGCGTATACCCATGCATATAATGCCATGCTGATGAAATACGTGCGGCGGCTCTCGCACACACACTACTCTTGCCCTGTGTGTGAGTGCGTGTGTGTGTGTGTGTGTGTGGTAGTGAAAACGAGGGGAATCCCCGTTGACAAATATAATTTACTTTTTTCGCGCTCATTTGCAACTCGAGCGAAAAAGTGGGACCACATTTTGATCCCTGGGGTGCGACAAAGCCTTTTTAAACATCTCACTTGCAGCTTAAGTTTTTCCAACAGAAAACTTGGGCAGAGGAGGAACCGAAGTGGAGGCTCAATTTATTTCAAATAAATTATGAAACTCGCAGAAATACATTTATTACTCTTAGTTCAGCATTTAGTATTTAAAAGAGTTACTTGAATAAATAAAATCTACAAATATAATGCACATACTTAGCAAACTTATAAATGCATTCCTAAGATTTTTATTTGTATTTCCTTTACTCCCGTTTGTCCACCCCAATAAGATTTTCGCATTTGCCATTTGAAGCAATAATCTATTGAACAAGCAAAATTACATGCTCATTTCAGACGTTTTGGTTCACTGCAAAATTTGTCATATAAAATGTTTTTACAAACCCTTAAGTACCGACTAAAAGGAGAGTGATTGGACAAGAAAAAGCTGAACGTGATGAATGCTTTGAATGCTTTCGGAATGGCCATTGGCTGGATGGACATTGTGGGAGTTCTATTCTTCGAATTGATAATGTTCTATATGATGCGACGTCGTCGATTGGCACAAAAATCAGAAGTCGTATCGATTGAAGCGCAATCAAAGTGCCACAGAGACTCACTGCCCAGTAAGTGCACTCAATAAATGCACTCGAATGCAGTGTTCTAACCAATTCATGTGCTCGAGGTCTCTTCTGCAGGAAGAAGCTGAGTGAAAGCGAAAACATTTGGATATTCTGGGGCTACCTGTTGATGCTGAATGTCTGGATTGGGGTGACACTGCTCATGATAGCTGGCATCTCATTTGTGCGTCAAAAGTCAAAAGTATCCCGTGGATGCGCATTCATGCTATTCTCATTTTCAGCAAAAACCGGAGCTCATGACATTCTGGTTGATATGGTGCGCCTGTGGCTTGGTCTTCGATGTCTTCCTCATTTTGTGGTGGGTCTACGAACTTTTCGTGGGAGACGCCATTGAAGCACTGACCAACATTTTGATCTCCCTGCTGACCATGGGTAGGGCTTCCCTCGTAAATTAGTTACTAATTTTATGATCTTTATGGCCTTAATTTGATAGCAATTGAGTTTGGCTTCATCTACGTTATCTACTCCATCTTCTTGAACTTGTCCAATGCCACCAACGATGCGGAGACCAAAGTGGTGGAAAAAGCTAGATATTCTTTTATGATGCTTTCAGATCAGAAGCGATAAATTCAAACATGTTTCTGTTAAATTGTTAAATTTACTTTCCAAGTTTCCTAAATAATGTAGAATTGAATCTTTGAATATTTCCAGTGGACATAACACCTGTACAGCGTACCACAATCTCATTACGAAGCGGCTTGGCCGGGTCATAGGTCATCGGTCATACGGCGCCAGACAGAAAAGCATATTTTGTATCTGCTGTGCCGACTCTTGTTTCTCGTTTTCCTGCACTTCATCTGGTTCTTTGGAGGGCTTTGTAGTTTTTAATGGTCTGCAGCACGGAAATTGATTCATTTCCGTTTTTTGCTCGGCGCTTCCGCTCTTGTCTGCTGCTCCTCCTCCAACGTCTACAGTTTTCCAGATCTCAGCTGCCAGCGAGCTGAAATCAAATTCAAGCTGTTTTAGTCCTAATTCGGCATCTAATTCCATTTGCCCGGGCTTTCGAACAAAGTGCGTGGATTGTCAACTTGTCACTTGCAACGCGATGCCAAAGTGAAAAGCAAAATATTTCTTCTTTATTAAACATTGCTGGAAGTCCGTTTATTTTGCAACTTCTTTTTTTATATTTTTTTTTTATACGTATATTTCTCTGTGTGTGTGTTGGGTTTTTTTCTGCGGGTTTCTTTGGTCCCCAAGCGCTGGCAGTGGTCGCCCTCGAAGGAGCGACTGGCTGCTCAAATTTATTGTTTGCAAATTGAAATTCTTGTCGACACGCACGAGCAAATCCATTGGGAATGCACAGCATAGCGCAGAATTTCAGCATCTCAACTCAGCTCAGTTCAGCTCGTCAGCGTCATAGTCATAGTTAGAATTTCGGATTGGGGCAGCAGTGTGGTGGGGGCGTGGCACTGGGCCGGATTTGATGGCTTTTGTGCTCGGGCAGCAGCTCATCATGGCTCTTTAGTATTTATTAAGACTGCGATGTGCCATGAAACATATTTCGATGAAAGCAAACAAAATATTTCAGAGCTGCGTTGACAAACGGAAAATGGGTATTGGGTGCAGAATAGCTGCGTGGGAAAATCGAAAAACATCGAGTTATTTTCTACAGCTCTTGTGCTCTTGGCAATTATGTCTAGAATTTATGTCGATAAACAAAGTATCCAAACGATACTTTAGTCATGCAAAAATCAGTTAAATATAAATTAGTTGCTTTTAAACAGAGCTAAGCAGTTCGCTGCTCTGGCGAGGTGAGTTTTCCTCTCCATTGTGAACAGAGAGTGACTGAGTGCTATATATAAGGCAATTTTTCTCGCTAAGTGGATCAGTCAACTTGAAAATGCGAACAGTGTGCGTCTTGTTTCTAATTTGTTGCCTTTGCTGGATACCCAAAGGTGTCTTATAAAACGAACTTTCTAATCAGATTAACTGAATGTCGTTCTTCTTAAGGTCAAGCCGACGAAAAGAAGATTGGCGCTGTAGGTCCGCCTCTGCAACAGAGAAGTCTTCGTCATGTAAGCTCCTTTGCTAATCCTGGCCAGCCGGGTAGACCTGGCACCGGAATACCAGGGCGACCGGGCCAGGGAATTCCTGGGCGACCTGGACGTCCAGGAGGATCAGGTGGAGCTGGAGGAGCAGGAGGAGCGGGTGGAAGTGGAGGTGATGGGGGAGCAGGAGGGGCAGGCGGGCGTGCAGGAGGAAGGGGATACTGGAGGAAAGGTATTTCATTGGGCCAAAGGCGACCAGAGCCAAGGTCTAAATATTATTGGTATTGAATCACATTTTAAAGTGTATATGAACTATTATTTAAAATACATTTCAATTTGTATACATTTTGTATAAATCAATCCATAAATAAATGAATTCGACAACTAGTCGAGTTCCCCGACTATCAGATACCCGTTACTCAGCTAGTGGAAGTGCAAACGTGAGATTTCTACATTTTCTGGACATTATCGGTATAAATTGTGTAAAAAAATTCTAAAAATGTTCATAAAATAAAATAAAAATAATTAAAATGTAAATTAAAATAAAAATTACTCCAGAAACATTTAGAGGTATGCCACTTCAAAATCCGATTAAGATGCGTTTAGTTATGAGTTTGTATGGTCGGAAACGCTTCCTTCTGCCTGTTACATACTTTTCAACGAGTGTAGTATACCCTTTTACTCTACGAGTAACAGGTATAGAAATTATTGTTTAAGGATTAGGAATATTTACAAGGTATTTTATTTTTTTGACCAAGTAGAACGCTTTTGAAAATGAAACTTAATGATCTGATTCTGCGACTGAGTCAATTTATTACACCTAATATTTTAAAACTAATTGTTTTAACAAATTTGCTGTGCTTTTACTACCCAAAAACATTTGTTTTTCAGATTTAATATCCCTTTTACACACCGTAAATGCAAAATCATTCCGTGATTACTTGCTAGCCATAAATATTTCTTCATTATTGTGTTTACTCCCTGCTAATTTGTTTTCTTTGTTAGAATGCCTCGGACACATTCCTGGCCACAATGCAGCGAGCAATTTTAATTAAATTATATAAGAATTCCCATGCCAGCCGCTTGACTCACCTGCTGGAATAATCAATTCCTGCGCTCAACTATCCAGTATTCAATACATTTCATTTACAGGGCGGCGAGTGAAGAAAAAAACCAACTGAATGGAAAAGTCTACGCAGGAAATTGATTGATTTCCGCTACGTACAGTTAAGGAAAAGCGGAAAAAATATTACCCATTGTAGTGGAGTTCATAGGGAAAGGGCGGGATTATACTTTATGAGCGGGGGGAAAGGTGGGCAATTAGTTGGGTGAGGGGGCGGTAAAGGTGCCACTGCAACACCACCACACCCAACCGAATATTTTGCCACACCAATACCAAACGCACGTGTGTGTTGCCCGGTGTTTGTGTAGGTGTGTGAGGGTCCTGCAGGAGTTTGAACACAAGTCCTGGTGGTGGCAAACATAAACATGGACGAAGCACATATGCTCTTGGGTGGTTCGCAGAGTTTTGGCACAATTTTGGGTGTCTTTGTGTGCTTATCCTTCGTCCTGCCAAAGCACGTGTGTGTGTGTGCGAGTTAAAAGCTAAAGCTTTCCTTGTTACATGCTCAATTAAACGGGAATGACGCCGCTGGAAGCTCAAGTCACGGTTTATATAGTTTTGCATTTCGAGTACCGCTTGATGTTCCAAATAAAAAAGGGATTTCTATTCAACTGAGTTTCAAGGAACCAGGCGACTAAAAATATTTCAGAAATAAACAACATGACTTTTATTTATAAAAAAAGGCTAGAAACTGCATTATATAAGATTGTCAAAAATCTCAAACAGATTATCGAACAAAACGGCGCATATTTGAACTAAATCCTGTACTGTAATACTTTTTATAAAGCATTGAATAAAGAGCAAAAAAGCGGAAGAGAGATATTTGACAAACTATTATAATTATATACTGCAAATATTTTACTAAAATTTAATTTATATAATATATATTAAACAAATATAATATTATAAATTCAAGCTGAAACTAAAATATTTATAGGTATTAAAAAGTATTACGCAATCTTACATTTCGGTTGTCCCAAATACTCTGTAATTAAAATTGTATCTCTAAATTGTACTTCAAATTTATAATTAAATACTAAGCATTTATACTATAAGCGGTTTTTTCGAATTCAGCGACTTGTACTTATAGTTTCATAGCTTTTGTCACCTGTGCCAGCAGCACTCATTGTACTGCGGCAAATGGAACTCCAAATTGCCTTTCAGAAGAGTCAATTTGTTGAGCAAACCGCTGGCTGCGGTGCATGTTTATTAAACCATTTAAAAAGGAGCACTGCACTTAAGCGTGCATGGGGAATACGAGTACACTGAGCGAAGCGCGCATGCTGAAGGCCACAATGTTGCACTTTGTGTCGCACCGCCTTGAGCAAATTATCGAGCAAGCGAAATTGCTTCAGGCGAAGGCGGTGAGCACAAAGCGGCTGCCAATTAGCGCCGGCCAGGATGCCCGATAATGCGCTTAGTCATGGAGGGTCCTTTTGCGGCGGACTCCTGTGCAAGGCGCCAGGACACGTGCCACACTCACACGTAGATACAGTCAGCTGCCGCGGCCGGCGACGCCGATGAAGTGCCGCATCGCAAATTCTACGGCTTGCAACATTGTTTTTCGGCGCCCATATAGTGGAAAAGTCGGCCCTAAACAGGACATGACACACTCACTCGCACGCGGGCACACTTGGAATTGCAAATCAGTCGACTAATGTGTACATAATCAGTCATGTCCCAACATGTGAATTCCATTAGTGATACACGGCCATGCAAACAAACAAGCATTAATCAGGACCGGATTGCGGGGGCGGCTGTGCGAAGGAGCAGGACGTCCTGATGTCTGGAGGGACTAGCTCCTGGATCCCGGCCAGAATCCCATCTACTGCATGGCCTGCCAGTCAGAGTCAGCAAATTCCAGTCCACTCGCTGTCTATTACAGCTGGCGTGCCATCCATACATACATATGCCATATTCCACGCCTGTGTTATTTATGCTTATTGTCTCGGGTCACCAGGGCGGATGGAAAAATATTGTTTCCCACTCGACTTACAAATTACGGCGGCAACTGAAGCAGGAGCCTCTGCCACGGCGGCTGCCCACCTTGATTTATCCCCACATTTCAATGCGGCCACTGAACGAAAAGAAACTCTATTAATTTCATGTATTTCCCGCTTTAAATGATGGTTTTGTTAACCAAACTAAAGTTATTATGCGCTGTTATGGCACAATTGCATTTTAAATCTTCTGAAACGAGTTTTTATAATAGGTATTTTTATAATTATATACATATAATGCCTAATGAATTTGGCCTATTTTATCGACTTAGTATATCGATTTAATATTCTTTTTAAAAGTGTGTTTTCTTTAATGTCCTAAGGACTAATTTACACATAGAACAATTATTATTACCAGCAAAATGTAACCTTAATTTCACTGATTACGATCATCAAGTATCACTTAACATTGTATAATTATGTAAACTTTCTTTATACGGATGTACTATTTTAATAATAATCTATAAATAATAAAAACTCCATTGCATAGTGTTCTATTGAACAAACAACTATGCTAATGACTTACCTACCAGCTTATTACAATTAAGATAAAATAATACTATAATTTATTATATTGTTGACTACTTTTATGTTTTAAATCTTTTGGTATATAGAGACTTATATATAGGGAATGAAGACGACTCGTAATAAAAGCTGTACGAGATCGATATCGGGCAGTATTTTTTCCCCGTGCATTTGGAGGCGACGTTCGCTTAATACGCCATTCATTTGGTCGCGTTATACTTCATTAAAGCAGGAACCATCAGAGGATCCTGGTGGGAGGCGGGATGGTGGCCAAGGATGAGGGATGAGGGATGGGGGCTGGGCGGCCTTTTCCGGCGCCTTGGCCGCAAAGTGCAGTCGGCAAAAATTATGCGGCTCGTTTGCGATGCCTGGAAATGCGACGGACTATGGACTACGGACTGCAGACGATGGCGATGGCGATGGCAAAATGGCAAATAGCAAATGCAGTGCCAACTTCAACTGGCTTGGGCCATTCGTTTATCCCTTTGTTCTCATTTATTTGCATGTCATTTGCTTCGACCGGCATCTGTGTCGCCCCCTCTCGCTCGCTCGTCACGCATGCTCTCCCGCTCGCACATTTTCTTCAGTCAGCTTTTCCTGCTTTCCCACTTTCCCACTTTTCCACTTTTCCCTCGCTTCTCATGGTTTTGCTGGGGTCACGTTTGTCTGCCTGGATGCCAGTTACTTATGGCTGTTATGTGCATTATCAATATGCATTGTACGGCTCGCCCTGCCGCTTTATATTTTCCCAGCGTTTTTCTTCTACTTTTCATTTGGGCAACACAAAAAGCTCGGGGATCCTGCGATATGGAAATTTTAATTATTTTGCTATTTATGTGTGCATTTCAAGGCACGTAATCAAGAAATGGCTTTGAAAAAGCATCAATTCTGATAAAGAATGTATTGAGAAATCGATTTTTTGCTTTATTTATTTGTTATTATTATTTAAATTAGCATGTTTAGCATTAGCATCGAAAAACTCGTTTATTTATTTAATATGAATTCAAACTCTTGTAACTCCTATAATAACATATCACTCATCCGCCATGTGGACTTCATAGAGCATTTTCTTCCATGCAATTTAAACAAGCTGTTAGGGTAATTTCACTTCGATTTGGACATAAACTTTTTACCTTCTTTACCCGCATTGGATATTTTGCCTCTCTGTTATGCAGTTTTAATAACGAATTGCTTTTTTATGGTTTCCGGCTTATAGAGCAGCACAGAAATTGGCAATGAACGAAGTTGCCAAGCAGCAGTAGCACCAAGGAGGATTCTTAAATCATGTCTTGTTTTTTTATTTTTTCTTATTTATTTTTAAAGTTGGATTTGAGACTACACTATATTTTTGTCCATTTTTTTAGTTTCTGTAGTAGCCGTACTGCTTTAGCCTGTTCTTTGTTAATAATGTTGTTGTCGTTGCTGCCGTGGTGGTGCTATTATTTTTGCTCGCGCTTTGTTAACCAAGTCAAGACTGCGCCAGCTGCAGCTTCCGTTGTCGCCACAGTTGCCATTGCCGCTGCCATTTGTTCGCCGGGCGTAATTAGTGCTCATGGCATAGGGCGTACTTCCTCCAACGAGCAGCTCCATCCCAACCCACCAAACCCCCCTAAAACTCCTGCCCCAACGCCCGTAGTTCTAGCGAAACTGGCAAAAAAATAAGTCACCAAATTGCTCGTT